GTGGGCATGAAGCGGCACGGGGCTGAGGACGGTCTGGATGTGTTGGGGTGGGTCCGAGGGAGTCCTGCTGACTCTGCCACCGGCCACTGCGTCAGAGCTTGGATACGTGGTTCTGGCCTCTCCTCAAAGGAGGAGTTTGAGCAATTCTGTCAGTGGTGAACTCTCGGGCCAGAGATGACATGGTGCATTTTCATGCAGGCCTCTTCCCTTCTTTTATTTTGTGCTTTTGAGCACCTCCATGAAGAGATCTTGGCTACCTTTTTTTCTCTCTCAAGTCACCAGTAGTCTAATGACCTGCTAGTTTGTATCCAGCATTAACCCAGAAAGTGTGTTAGTGGAAAGGAGGGTTGATAGTTATTATACCATTTCCTAGATGCCAGGCACTTCTTTACATGAATTTTCTAATGTCAGCATCACAACAATACCCTATGAGTAGAGATTAGCCCAATTTTTACAGATGGGGAGGCTGAGGAGTAGCCAGATTAAGTGACTTTGCTCAAGGTCGCACAAGTTACCCATTGGCTATCGACTTGTGTCCCTAAGAATAGAACAGATGCCTGGGCATTTGGTTATCTGTGGGCTACGATCTTTCTTACCCACGCAGTCATCTTCTCTGGATTTTTATTTATGTATTATTATTATTATTTATTTATTTATTTTTTAGAGAGTAAATAACTCTTTGGATCCTTCCTGCCCTTAGGCTCCAGGTCCTAACAACCTCCCCTGGCCCTGGGATTCTAGGATTCAAGGTTGGGTCATATGTGGGCAATTATTAAGAAACAGTAGGGGGCAGCATGACCCTAAGAATAAAGCTGTATTTCTCTCCCTCCCTGCCTCCCCTTCCCCCCAACCCTCACTGCCAACTCTCTTCCCTGTCCTGGGGCCATTTCTGTTATCCACCCATCCTCCTTCAAAATATTTATTTTATCATATAATGAGAGGGGGTGGGGAACCAGATACATTTATGAAGGCCCAAAACAAAAGAGCTCATAATTGGAAATGTTTATTCACTTAATCTGAATAAATGCATATTGTGTGTGTGTGTGTGTGTGTGTGTGTGTGTGTGTAATTTCTTTTTCTTTTTTCTTTTTAAAAAATATATTTTATTGATTTTTCACAGAGAGGAAGGAAGAGGGATAGAGAGCTAGAAATGTCGAGAGAGAAACATCGATCAGCTGCCTCTTGCATACCCCCTACCGGGGATGTACCCGCAACCAATGTACATGCCCTTGACCGGAATCGAACCTGGGACCTTTCAGTCCGCAGACCGACGCTCTACCACTGAGCCAAACCGGCTTTGGCTGTGTGTGGAATTTCTTTAGTGGTTTTGCAGTATCAGGTAATGTTTGAAGTGGAAGGAACCTCAGAGGTCATCCATCAGAACTCCCTCCTTTTCAGCTAAGGAAGCTGGTCTAGGTTAACTAAGCCTCACCTTGTGGAGTCTTCCTTGTCTTGCATTTCTCAGGGAAATAGACATATTAGGTTCCTAAACAGCTGGCCTTTCCTGCCCGACACAGGTTCACTGGCCAGGGAGAAAGTACAATGGAGATTTCTAGAACTGTTTTTCCGGACTAACCTCAACTTGGGTCCATTTTGTTCCTCCAGGCTGCAGACGGGTAACTGACTCCAACAAAGGAAGCCAGCGAGGGCTAAAATGGAATGAGTTTAGGATCCATATGGGAGAAAATTCCAGAGCTAAGGAATTACCAAACACCTGAGTAGACAGATGATCGGGAATGGTAGTGGAATCTCCTTTTCTATCTGTTTGGGGTTCTTTCTTTTTTTTGTAAATGTATTTTATTGATTTTTTACAGAGAGGAAGAGAGAAAGATAGAGAGCCAGAAACATCCATGAGAGAGAAACATTGATCAGCTGCCTTTTGCACCCCCCCCCACTTGGGATGTGCCCGCAACCAAGGTACATGCCCTTGACTGGAATCGAACCTGGGACCTTTCAGTCTGCAGGCCAACGCTCCATCCACTGAGCCAAACCAGTTTTGGCTAATTTGGGTTTTTTAAGAGGCAAGGGAATGGATTAGGTGGCCTTTTCAGGTGCATTCCTGTCCAGGGACTCTGATTGTGTTAGGTAATATAATAAAGGTAAATTCAACCCGAAAGGCTCCCCAAGCCAGTGTTAACAGGAATGAAGCTTTATGAGGGAAACTTCAGTTGAGCTTCTAGTTTCTCATTTCCTCCTCTGCCGTGCAGAAATGAGCAACATGGAGATAGAAGGGAGGCAGCTGGTGTGGCTTTTGGGGAAAGGAATGTGCTACTACAATAGTGAGGGATGAAATGGACTCATGACCTTCCAGAGATGGAGAAGGAAGCCAGATAGAACCAGGGCAGCAAGGTATTCTCGCCAAATTAAATTACGATATACTAGTGACCTGGTGCACGAAATCCGTGCACGTTAAAAAGGGGTCAACTCCAGGAAATAATTTAATATTGCTATTTGCCCTTTCTCTATAATAGAAGTGTCAGAGATGAAAGAAAATTAGTAAAATGTATATGAAAACCTTCCTCCTGTCAGAGTCTGGGGCATACCACGGGACCCAGAGTCAAGTCCCTGCCCACCTCAAAATCATGTGAGACCCAGACCTGGATGCCCTCCCTCCCTCCCCCGCCCCCATTGGGCTAGATCTAGACCCAGCCAGTCCCACTCTTGTCAAACCCAGACAGGGAGGGGGCACAGCCTCAGGTCCCCTGGCCCGGTGTCAGGATGGGGGGGCATGGCCTGAGATCTCCCAGCCCAGACTAGGGTGGATGGCATGCTTTGAGGTCCTTCATCAAGCTCTGCCAGGTGGGGGACACAGCCTGAGATCCCCTGTCAAGCCCCACCTGGTGGGAGGCATGGCCTGAGGTCCCCTGGCCTGGCACTGGGGTTGGGTGTAGCTTGAGGTCCCCCGACCTGACTCGGGGTGAGGGGTGGGGCGCAGCCCAAGGTCCACTGTCAAGCCCCACAGGGGTTGGGGAAGGTGTAGCCTCAGGTCCCTGCTGATTGCTTGTTAAGGCTTTTTATGAGAACTTGCCCTCAGCTGTGGGTGCAGCCATCTCTGTGACGGAGTGATGGCCCATTAGCATATCCCCTCTTTATTAGATAGGACTAGCTTGCATTAATGGAGGAAGGGAAGGAAGATTGGTTAAAAAGAAACACAGGGGTGGGGGAGGTCCCCAGGTTCTTTTGGTATCTCTTAAAAACACAACAGCCATGGTAACCACAGACAGCTCCTCACTGCTGGGCAAGTCACCACACAGCCACTGCTAAATGGAGGAGAGGGACCCCCAGGGAGAAGCCATTAACAAAGGCAAAAGACATGCAAAACAAACAAAGTCATCATGACCGGGAGAGGAGGCCAGCAGACAGTCTGGCTCTGTTCTCCCACCTCCCGCTGCAGGCACCTCAGACAATGTAAACAGTTAATTTGTTCACCTGCAGGCTCTGGGCAAACAGAGGCCTGGTCACACCTGAGTGGGTAACTCGATTACCCCTCTAATGCCAGCGTGGTAATGTACACAAATTCTATTACACGCAAACCCCGCTTTCGGGCATTTGAAATACCAGCCGGCCAATGTCCACTCCCTCCTTTGCTTCCAATTTATTCTTGGTGTATTAGAGCTGCACAGCAATGGCGCTAGGGTGCTGTTGAATTAGGACGCTGGAAGAAATTGCTAGAAGATTGTGATCTCACTCAGCAGGGCTCTTGCAGGCCTCCTATACTCCTTTGAAAAGAGTGAGGTCTGAACTTGGTCCTGGGTCAGAGGGGACGCGTGGGAACCACTGAAGGGTGCCTTGGGTCAGCCCTGGTGTTTCCTAAGGAGCTTATGGTGTATTTAAATTGGGACAAACCTTTAGATAAACAGCAAATAATGGGTTAGTGACACAGTGGGTTTTCAATATTGCTTTATGGAATCCACAGACTCATCGATGGAAGAGCAAATTGTGCCTATTTAAAAAATGTGTTTGTAGATCTTGATTGACGAAGAGAGAGGGAGAGGGAGGAGGAGGAGAGAGAGAGAGAGAGAGAGAGAGAGAGAGAGAGAGAGAGAGAGAGAGAGAGAGGGAGAGGGAGAGAGAGGGAGAGAGAGAGAGAACTTTGTAAAAAACAACAACAAACATTTAAAAATTATTGATTTGAGAGAGAGAAACATAGACTGGGGATTAAACCCACAACCTGGGTATGTGCTTTGAATCAAACCCACCATCTTTTGGTGTACAGGATGACACTCTATCTAGCCACACTAGCCAGGGCAAGAGAAAGAACTTTTTAATAAGTTTTTTTTTCAGGGACCTAGTTCCTTCGTCCACTTATACAGACTGTAGTATTTCATTACAAAGATAATGCTACTGATTCCTCTGTAGCCCATCCATTCTTTTTTTCACATAGGTGATGGATCTATAATAATCTGTCCTTTTTTTTCTCCCCCAATTCTTTCTTGATCAACAATTTCATTTGTGAGATGCTTAGCTGGGGTCAGGGGTTAACTCTGTGACTGAGGAAGAGAATGCAGTTAGCTGGCCCTGGTGGGGTTTGAGTCACTCTCTGGGTCTTATCAGCACTTGTTCAAACCAATTGAGCTAGCGGGTTCTGACTCCTCCCTCCATACGTAATTCTATTACCGTCTTGTTTATCTATAAATGAAACAAGGCATCTGATCTAGCCAGAATGTTTTTACGAGTATTATATGATAATAAATTATGTACATAGTAATGACCTTTTAAAGATCACCAGGCCCTAGAAAGATCAAATTTTGATTGGCATAGCTTTGGTATGATGTCTACCATGTTGTATTTTTAAACTTGAAACTTGGTTCCTGGGTCTGCATTTTCAATTAAGATTTTCCCCAAGAATTATAAGTCAATGGGAATTTGTGTGTGAGGCGGCCATGTAATACACACAACAGACGTGTATGCACGTGGAATAATTCTGGTCATGGTGACCAAATCATCAAGCGTGAAAAAATTGACGTTCGGCCCAAGCCCCGCCCCCTGTGTGTCTTTACCTTGCTCAGAATGCGGATGAGGTCACCTCGCTGGAAGGACAGTTCGTCTGGCTGGTCACCATGGCAATCCCACAAGCCCTGGTAATAGCTGGCATAGTCCGCTGATCAAAGAGAGGAGAAATCAAAGTTAACCAGAGAGCCCACATGTTTGCTGCAAAAGGAAACCTAGGATTCAGGGTGGCTGGGATGAGATACAGCTACATACTCCGTATGAGCAAAGGACTGTGGGAGAGGGAGATCATTAACTAACGTTAAATATTTACCGATCACCCTTAGTCGGATGCTGTTCAATAATATGATAAATATATTCATTTATTAACAAAAGGAAACCAGGCAGGTAATTTCTCACTTGGCTTGTATGTAAGCAGTACAAAGAGATTTCCTGCTAGCTAGGCTTTCTTGATCCAGGGCGTCTACACCATCCGTGCTTCCCTTCATTATTCGTTTGAAGGAATGGGGTGAGTCCCTGCCTTCCTATCGATATTTACAAGAGAGGCTGAGTCAACCAGCCTGTGTCTGCATCACAGTCTCACACACTGGCCTCCTCTGTTACAGAGGAACTCCATCCTGGACACTTCCCACCCAGGTACTCTATGAGGCCATCACCAATAAATACGGAAACAAATAGCTCCGTCTTTAAGTGGAACCAAGGGGGTGTCTCATCCATTACAACTAAATTCTGGGTGGGCTGGCCCCTTTCCAGCATCTCATTTGTAGACCCTGAACATGTCTGCCAAGATTTATCTGCAAGCCCTCAGGGGAACGGAAACCAGAGTGATCTGCATTAAAAATGAAAGCAACTCAAGACGACAAACCAAGCTTTCGAAGCAGCTGGAGAGATTTACTGAGCTTCTCAGCGAGACTAGATGGCAGTGATGCCACAGGACAGCCATCGATTCTTAACAATGAAGAATTTGTATTGATCTCCTTCTACCCGGAAAGGTTAAACACTGGAGTACAAAGTGGGAGAGGATCTGGGGATCTGAATGGCAGGAGAGCTGATACCCACTAGACCAGGAATACTGTGGCGATGCTCCCCGGATGCTGTGTATGAGCTTTAAGCAAAGCACCTACCAAGGGTGACATTCCTATCATTGGGAGTCAGGAGACCTGGGTTTTAATGAAAGTTTAAGTGATTCTTGGGGATCCTCTCTTACCAGTTTCCATCTTTTCCTTCATTTGCCTTGACCCTCCCTTGAGGAGTAATGATGCTAGTCGCTGGGGGTGGGAATAGATGTAGGGCAGTGGAGGGCGGGGGGAGAGACAGAGACCCTGGCCATGTTTCCTTTTTTTTTTTTTTGCTTGTTATTAACTTATGAGCAATTAAAAAAATAAAGGCACAGGGAACAACATCCCTGTCTCTGGAAAAGAACTTTAGTAGGAAGCTTAAAGCACACAGAAACAGAAGCGGCAAGGAGCTATTGAGTTAAGACTCGGATATTACAAACGGAAGTAAAAATGTTCACCATACAGAAACTCAGGCACGTGTCCTTGACACAGAAAATGGCTTGTATATGCAGTAGACAATAGAGGGCAGCAAACAAGACAGCTACGCTGCAAATAGTCTGCTACAGTTAGGAAACTTTTTGGAAGAAACAATACTTTGGGATACCAATGCTAACTGTTTGAAAGGACAAGGTATATATTTCTTGGATATCAGTGCATGAAATCATAGAGAAACAACAGTTCCTGAAAAGTGAAAGCAATTGGAATGGAGTTGATTAATCACCCAGAGAGTTTGGCTAAATTTAGGGATTAAAAAGTATACTGACATCAATAGAACATGGTAGAGAAAATTTATAAAAGTAGATTTTTAAAACAACGATATATTCAATTGGTAAGACTGACAACATTATCCTGGCTTTTTCTGGCCTAGCAGATGGTCATTGCAGGGTACTGCTCCCCACATACCTGGATGTGGGATAGTGCCTAAGACCATGAGTGCCTTTTGGATATATGTGTTAAAAAAAAGAAAAGAAGATTTGATATTGAGGATATAAGGCATCTGGGGAGAACACTTATAAAAAGACCTATTCTAAAAGCACAATAGATCAGAGAAAGGAAGAGGAAAATCTTCCAAGGAAAAAAAAAGAAGATAGGAAATGCCTTCAGTTCTTTATAAGGCCAAAAGAAGATAGCGCTCAGGAATCCAGGAGATAGGTCAGCCTCGTCCACAAGAACTGCAATCATCAGAACCATGACAAAAAACAAAACAAACAAAAAAAAAGCTCTGAAAAATAAGCAGAATGAAAGGCTAAACATGAGGCAGAGGTTAGACTTGCTGTTTGGACAGAAGTATTCTGGCACTAAGGAAATCAGGGAGGAGGAACACCTTAACTGGACAAGATTGGACTGACTATTGCCAACTCCCTGTATCACATATGTGTGTTTTTCATTCATGCGTAAGTATGTACACAACTTCCCTGCATTCATTCCTTAGCCTTCAACAACCATGTGCACAGCACCTACTAAGTGCGAGGGGCCGTGCTAGATGCTGGGAATCCCACACTGGCCATATTTGGTCCTTGCCCTCAGGCCTACCCTCCAGTCAGGAGACAGCACTCTGAGATCAGAAATGGTGCAGCATTCTGACCACTTAATTAATTCAAAACACCCTCATCCTCATTTTGAGGACATTATTCCATCTAATTATTTCCTCCCCCCCCCCCCGAGTCTGTCCATTTGGAATGAAAAACAAAAGAATAAAGCTTAATGCCAGTATTTCTCAATCCCCCCTCCCCCCCTAAAAAAAAAAAAAAAAAAGTAACTGCACTAAATAAAGCCTGGTAATTCAAAAGCAAAGCACTAATATATTCAGCATAAAACAGACAGAGGACCTAGAGCAATAATGACAACACTAATAACTAAAACAGTTATAACAATTAACAACAATTACAATGATGGAGAAGCTAATGGGTATGATCACGGCTTTTCAATTGCTAGCAGAGCTGAGGACTTTTTCTAGAGAAAAATAAGGGGGGGGGGGAAGCATCTTATTTTCTTTATCTCATATAAGAGAAGCTAAGCTCCAGTAAACAAAATGTCGTAAAAAAAAAAAGAGCAACAGACCAAGTTAAAAAAATATTGTTTTTTTTTTTTCTCCCTTTTTTAGGTAGTTACTGCAAAGCATTTGTCATTCCACACCAAGTTCTTTATAGCCAGTGATGGTAAGTTCTCTGGGAATGGAAATGAGCCTCTGTGATGTGGAGAGTTCAAAGGTGAAAGGACCAGGACCCCTCTCTGCCTCCAGCCTTCCTTAGGGACAACAGGACGTGACTAGGTTCCTTCCAGAGTTCATCAGTTACCTTGGGCTTTTGTCTGGGGACATCGGGCAGTTCCAGAACTCAAGCTGCGACCAAGAGGAAGGGGCTCAAGGCAGGTCTACATTGTCTGGATGAGCAAAAGGACTGTGCCAACAAGGCCTGGCCTTGGGTACCACTACATAACGAATTATAGAAAAGAGAAAGAGAACGAGAAGACACGTAAAGCCAGTCTTTGCTAGAGCCTGGGTTGGTAGGACTTGGACAAAGAAGGCCAAAGCAGTGGCCGTTGGAAAGGACTTGAAAAGGCCACTATGTTCAGTCCATCAAAGTGGTCTCAGTCTGATCCCACATTAACTAATTCGGAAGGAAGCGCATAAAAAAAATGTGCCAAGCTCATTGACTATGATGTCAGAACAGGAAGAGCAACTGACCAATACCGTTTGCTTAGTTTTGTAGCTCTTTTTTTATGCTGACATTTTTTTTTATTTTTTAAAATATATTTTATTGATTTTTTTTACAGAGAGGAAGGGAGAAGGATAGAGAGTTAGAAACATTGATGAGAGAGAGACATCGATCAGCCGCCTCCTGCACACCCCCTACTGGGGATATGCCCGCAACCAAGGTACGTGCCCTTGACCGGAATCGAACCCGGGACCTTTCAGTCCCCAAGCCGACGCTCTATTCATTGAGCCAAACCGGTTTTGGCAGTTTTGTAGCTCTTTAATCTTTACTTTTGAAGTTATGGTCCTTAATGTTATAACTATAATCTTGAAGTGAGAACATGCGCAGATTAGATTCTCATCTCCCGTGTTCCTTTTATTGGGCCAAAATTGTAGCTGGCTGATAATTAACTCATGTTTGGTCTTGGGAAATAAGTTTCAAAAAGTAAATGCTGCAAATACCTCTGTGGCTTCCCTCTGTTTTTTTTGTGTAATAGTTCACCCCACTGGTGGGCACCAAAGTGACCAGAATGCCTCAGGGATGGAATGCTCATCAGCGACCATTTTCCTTCGCTGCAGAAACTACTAAATATGGGCTCCTTTTTGGCTGAGCTCGCCCACAATTTCAGAGTGAAAATAAACTGTTTCAAGATCTCCCCTGGTCAGAGGTTAGATGCATCTAAGGATGATTTGCGTCACTGTCTCTGCTTTTTATTTATTATTATTATTATTATTATTATTATTATTTATTATTATTATTACTAGAGGCCTAGTGCACGAAATTCATGCATGGGTAGGGTCCCTAAGCGTAGCCAGGGATCAGGGCTGATTGGGGCCTTCCAGCTGCTGGCCAAAGCCCTCCTTCCCAGGCTGTTGTCTGCTGGCCAGGGCCTTCCGTCATCTGCACTGCCCCCTCGTGGTCAGAGCATGTTATAATGAGAGATTGAACTCCTGGTCTCCTGGTCAAACTCCCAAAGGAAAAATTTGCACAGTAGGCTTTTATATATATAGATTTTTGTTAATCTTCACCTGAGGATATTTTTCCATTGATTTTTAGGGAGAGTGAAAAAGAGAGGGAAAGATTGAGAGAAACAACGATGTGGGAGAAATACATCAATTGGTTGCCTCCTGCATGAGCCCAGACCAGGGCCCAGGCCGGGGAGGAGCCTACAACCAACGTATGTGCCCTTGACCGGAATTGAACCCTCTGGTCTGTAGGCCGACCACTTAGCCAAACCGGCTAGGGTTCCATCCCTGATGTTTATTTGGCATGGCATACCCAAGCAAATGGCCAGTAGTTTTCATATAAACAACACAGAATGAGCTTTATTTTTGGTTACCTGGACATTGCCTTCTCCTGACAGGAAAGGGAGATAAACTCATCACCGAAAACATTTAGTGTTAGCCTGTTAGGCTGATGGGTTAGAATTCAGTGAACATCAGAGGTGTTGAAGAGTCACTCATTAAAATAACCCTGTTACTAACAGTCATGCTGTAAACCAAGCTCTTTATAGATTGGACAATCAATACGACAAGGCTGTGATAGATTTTCTAGGTAACAGAATAAAATAAAAGAAATTACATCTTACGGGGTCATTAACACCCAATAAGGATAAACTGAATTCCTTTTCCCCTCCTCTTCTGATACGATCTCGTTGGGCTTTAAAAATGTTAGCAATTCCATTAGGGGAAAGTGCAGCATTGGGGGGGGGGGGGTCGGAGGGGTGAAAGAAGTATCCCTGGAATGGTAGAGAAAACGGATTTTAAAGGTAACCCTGCTAATCACAGGATCTTTTTTTCTTTTTTTGTTTTTGTTTTTAAAATATATTTTATTGATTTTACATAGAGAGGAATAGAGAGTTAGAAACGTCGATGAGAGAGAAACATCGACCAGCTGCCTCTTGCACACCCCCTACTGGGGATGTGCCCGCAACCAAGGCACATGTCCTTGACCGGAATCGAACCCGGGACCTTTCAGTCCGCAGGCCGACGCTCTATCCACTGAGCCAAACCGGTTTTGGTCACAGTATCTTTTAAGAGAAAAGATTCTCCTCCCCCCACCCCCCCCAAAAAAAAAAAAAAAAGGCATGTGTCACCTGAGATGTAGCATGTAAAACTATGTGAGCCAAACGTGTGTAGCCTGTCTGTTACACAGGAATTCACAGTGTCACAGAGTTTCCGTGCCTTTTGCAGGCTTCCCGTGGGGCTGCCTCCCCTTCCTCCGGACCTTCATATTTAACTGTTACAACACTAAGCGGTGACATCTGGATGTTACATATGTGTTGCTGCTGCTATAGCTCCTTGGGAGAAAAGGCATTATATAAACTTAATAAATAAATAAGTAAATACCAATAATAAAAATTCCCGCCTCAGATTCTGCAGAGCGCGCGCAAAGTCCTCCTCTGCTGTTTTTTTTTTAATCACCAACTCACCCATCATTATAACTGGTGGGAAGGATAAACCACAGAAACATATTCAGAACTCACTGCACGTGAACAGCACCTATTTTGGTTAGGCAGGAAGCATGAAGCACAAAAGGGTTTTCTTTTTTAATATAACGCAAAAATCCTACTTGAATTATAGCTACTGAAACAGGAAATACATCCCCCTCACCTCCCCCCCCCCCCCGTGCCGCCCCCCACCCCCTGCCACCCAGATAGAACCTTATAAAGAGAGGCAGAAGGAGGAAGTGAGGTGGAGGAAGAGTCTGAAACGGAATTTTTAGACTTTTGCCAGAAGCCTGCTGCTTCCGGAATGAAGTTTACTATCCGGTTGGCTATGGGAAGCTTCCCGGTCTCCCACCCTCGTGTCCCCATGAAGTGTTTCCTCCCTGCTCCGGGGATGGAAACTAGAGGAGAAAAGGCATCCTCGGGGCCTGGGTTGGTCAGGAAACAGATTTTCGGTGGGAAGTCTGGACGGCAAGTGGAAAACAGCAGGGGGATAGGTTTCAGAATGGACTCAGCCACGTGTGCTTAGGAGGTCCTGTCTTGAAGCTACACTAACCCTCCTGCATCAGACTGGCCTCTGTTCTTTCTTTGTCTCCTGCTTTGCACATGACTCTTTGCTGTCTCTTCTCGCCACTTGGGAGAAGTTGGGTATTTATGAAGTTGGGTCCTTCACCAAACCTGTTACATGTTCGCTTTCTGTGGGGAATGAACCAAAAAAAGGGGTTTTGTTGAATGGATAACAAAGAGAAGAAAAGGCACAAGGAAAGGCATAGAGAAGAGAAAGAGGGGAAAAGAAATTGGAACAGAGAATTGGAGAGGGAGCAGGGAAAGGAAGAGGAAAAGAATTCCTAGGCTGAAGACTCATAGAATCTTTAAGAAAAAAAAATCAGCCACCGTTGAGGCTCTGCTGGTGGAATGAAATGTCCTTGCAACACACATCTCTTCACTGACGCTGACAGAAGAGTCCTCGGTCCACTTAAGGCAGCTTCCGAGGGGCACCTGACCTTCGGAAGGATGGACTCACTAACAGCCTGAAGCATGGTTAACAGCCGGAGAGGAAGAAGATGCGATTTCGTATTCAACAAACCTGTTACATATTCATTTCCCAATGTGCCTGGAATCTATCCGGGCCATCAGGAGTCAGCATCACCGAGCAGCCCTATCCTTCAGCCCGCGCTCACTCCTCAGGCCTGACACATTCCCATTCCCCTCTGAACCTGCAATCGCCGGGCTCTCGGAGAGGGGCCGTTTCCATTCTTCCCATTCTCAATCCTCCGATCTTTTCCAGATGAGGCAATTCTATTTCCCCTGGACTGACTTCAGAAATACTGATAGGAAAAAATGTAAATATCTGACTTGGCTTCCTCCTTCTCTAGGATAAATCCTGTCCTGGGAACATTAATTAAAACGAGTGGGCGGCGGCTTTTAGAGTAAGGTATCTTCCTCTCCAGGCATCTTAGTTGGGCCTTTGAAGGTCGACACCCGGGAATCTTCTTAACCAGTGAGTCCTGTTATATCAGGACGGTGCTCCCTCCAGCCGGGAGCCCCCGTGTCCTCCCACCCAGGCTTATACATGCACGAAGCTTTCATACCTCTTTTTTGTCCAGAGCCACTCTCCTCCTCTCCGAGATCAAGCTCGTCATCTGAGGGGAGACACACATCGTCAGCATTAGCAGTGAATGGTCTATAGTCTCGTGTTTTTTATACCTCCTAACTCATCACGCTCTCTTCCTAACGAAATAATTACCATGTTCTTTTTTCTTTTCTTTTTTTTCTTTTTTATTTTTATCCCCTCTTACCTTCAAACAGGCCCTCTCCTTCTCTCCTCCCTGTTCATTCATTCACAAACATTTTAAAGTGCTTACGGATGTGCAAGGCACTGCACTAGGAACTGGACAAGCCAGGCAGGCCCTGCCATCGGGGAGCTTGCCACCCACTGGATTATTTAGGTGCCTATCACTAAATCCTGGGCCTTTCCCTAAAATCCCATTTCTTCTCCCCTTCTGGAATTCTCTTCAAAATGTAGTATCTCCATGTGAGTGTCCAGACTCAGTGTGTGTGTGTGTGTGTGTGTGTGTGTGTGAGTGTGTGAAGCTGAGCACGTGTTTAAAACCTTCTTCATATTAATAATTAGTCCTTCATGTGTCAGGCTTTGTTCAGCTGTAACAAAAGCTGGCCGTGTACATACATTTATGTTCCTAGTGTTATCTTTTTTTACTCAGCCTGCCTTGTTCACTAGAGTGTAAGCTCCTGAGGGCAGCTGGAAAGGTTCTAACGAACTGCTGCAGGTACACAATGGGTTCTAAGTCAGCACTACTGGCTAAGTCTAGTCAAGTGTTTCTGTGGTCAAAGTCACAACATGATCGGCCTGTGTTTCTTACCCTCATTAACCTGTTTCATCTCAGACTTCATACTCCCTGATCACATTGGGCCTTTATAAAGAAAGCATGAGTCCTTACAGTCACATACACACACACACACACACACACACACACACACACACACACACACTCTGAATGGGGCATAATAAGTAACATTTTGAGGGCTGAACACTTAAGTTTCTTCTGTCTACATTTCCTTTCCTTTCTCCTTCTGGGTCTTAGGGCACTTACCTCTCTCGCTTCCCCATAATTATGCCACTGAATGGAACTTTTTGAGGAGATGGCTTTTTAAAAATATAAGGTTTTATAGGGCAATATGAATTCCGATATGCCAGACTGGGGGAAATAAACTCTAAGCACATAAGTAAGAAGAAACAGCATAAACATATTTTAGACCATTAAAGAAATAGTTGATCTCACATACAAAATGATACAATTTCCTGGCAAAAATAAAAAAAAAGGAAGGGATTGATACTCTGGAGAAATAAGTCACCAATTATCAAGGCAAAAAAAAAAATAGTGTATATATATATATATATATATATATATATATATATATATATATATGTTTACCCTACAAGATACTTTGACTCAATTCTCCTTATCTGCATGTATGACCGAGAGGCAGAGAATTTCCCAGTGCCACCTGTCGTGCTCCCCACATCGCGCCATTAGGAATAAAGATGTGAGATATCGGAAGAGTGAAATCAAATATCAGAAACAGATCGTGACAGAATAAGTCTCGTTAAGCATCATTCTTTGCACACCGTCTTCTTATTCTTGCCCACGTCCTTCCTTCTCTGCTAGGATGCTCTTCCTCTTGGACATGGGACTAATTTCACAGGACTGGAAACGACGCTTCGCAGAGGAGCGGGTACGCCCTCGGTGTTACAGATACGCAATAATTGGGATAGAGAACAGCTCTTTTGCTGCTCTCAGGCAACTCAGTCACGAAGCTCAATAATCTGCTGTGCTGAGACGCTTTTGCAGTAGAGAGCATTTCCACTACCTCTGCTCTCTGCGCGCAGATGTCTCTTCCTCCCAATTCTAATCAATGTAAATTGGGTCAGTTCTCCGCTGTGAATTACAAATTGGATCCGAAGTTGGAGGGTCACCGTGCCTGCTCCTCCACCTCCTCCCCACCACCATTAGATGGGAAGCTGCACCGAAGATCTTTTCTAAATAAATCAGACTTTATTGTAAAACGCGGCCACTGACGAGACGTAACCTCATTAGCATTGATTTTAAAATAAATTATTGAAAGTGGCTTGCCTGCTCTTTGCATTTGTAAAATAGGGAGAATGTAAATGTATTTTGCAATGATAAAAATGAAAACTAAGATGTGATTCCTCCTTTATCCTTTCAGGCAACCGCACTTAATCTAGTCATGAAACAAGAACGGGAAGAATAAAAATCTCTTCTGCGCGGTTCACTCCCAGACCGAATACTCTGATTCCCATTGTGCCTGTGGAGTTACCGAGAAGGAAAGCAGGATGCTGGCCGTAGATCTCACAGCGCTACGCTCTGCGGGGATGGGTGTGAACAGGGAAGCTTCCATCCCCACATCTGTCCTACCTGACGCTGTCCTTCCCAGCTGGCTGAAAGTGGACCAAGCCAAGAAGGCCAGCCGTTGATGTGAGAAGCAGGGTGCTGTGTCTCTGGCTTTTTAAGCGAGTTTGGGGGTCCCATCCCCCGGAGAAGGAACGTGCCCTCCACAGCTGGCAGTGAAGGTCACCCCTCCTAGCACCTTCCCAGCTTCAGAGGGCGCCATCTAAACCGAGAGGCCTACATTTCATCTCACATCCTTCAACAAGAATCAAATTTCGAGCTCCAAAACCAAGAAAACCGATCCTGTGGCAGCAGGGTCACGTGCCCACAGAGGAGGGTGGGGTTAAACAGCCCAATGTCTCATTTTTATTCCTCTGTAAGGTGAGGTTTTAATTTTAAAGATATTATTAAAAACTTTTTTTTTAGACTAAAGAGCTTATTGTGCTTCTTTAGAAGAAGACTATTAGGCATGTTAGCATGACATCTACGGAAATACATCTTCAATTAAGAGAGGATTAAAATGTATGCGCTAGCTCAACTTGAAACAGTGGTAGATTATACCGGTCCTTGCTCTTAACGGGGCATAGGGGCCCCCAGGGTGACAGAGGTTTCAAACAAATGAACCTCCAAAGATTACTGTCCACTTATAACATCAAATGCTCTGCTTGATCCCCAAATATCTCATCTCAACTGGGAAAAGAGGTGAGGAAGATTCTGTTGACTGTGTGAGCGTGTACGAGGACCACGGGGCATCGCAAATGAGCACCGGCATCCGGAGAGTTGGGTTTCAATCAGCGCTCTTGGCACAAAGTCAGGGACGCTAATGAGAGGCTGAGGGGATCAGGACACGGATGCCGCTGGGGAGGCGCAGAGAGGAGAGGGGCCAGCTTCCCCGGACGCCCGGCTCCTTTCGGAAATGCTGCTCTGACCCTGGCCACATCGGCGCAGAGGGGAAAAAACATTAAAAAAACGACCAGGTCAGAAAGAGGGAAGCTGTTTCCCCCCACACAGAGCCGAGGGGCAGACGCTTAAAACACGCCACACACTATCCAGGAGCATCCAGATGTCCAGGTGCTCCGGTGACAGATGCAACAGAAACGCAGCCAGACTCGAAGCGCAGAGGAAACACGCGGAAAAGCAGAAACGGGAGCCGCTGCTCAGCACGCACATCCATCTTAGAAATCCGAGGAGGCGACTGCGCCTCTTTAGACAACGCGGGGAAATGTGAGCGAGGCGCTAACCACCCGTTTCATTCTCTGGTGTGTGTTTGGCCATCGCAACGGGTTACCTTAAAGTGTCTGCATCCCGTCTCTGTGTTACGGTCTTGATGGACATGATATGAAACTCGATTTTCTGCTAACTGCAATACCTGGAATGCTTTGAACTCAATTTCACACGTAAAAACTGAGCACCTACTAATTGGGGGGAGAGACGGGAATACAGATCCCCACGGTACTGGCCAAAACAGAACTCCATTCCAGCCGGGTCACCCAGGAGACACAGTGGAGCATGCTGTGCAGGATTCCATCAGCGGAGATCCAGGGGGGGTTAGTCTGGCGAGAAGCAAACAGCACCATGCTGGTTTGGGTGCTGGCAAATCAGCACCGTGTGGCTAGGACCCGGTGCGCTTGGGAGTGACAGGGAGGAGGCCAGGGAGCTCAGGGGGAGCTTGATGCTGGTGCTGACTCTTCTTGGATGTCTCCCCTGCCCCCCGCCCCTCCATCCAGTGCTGCTTTGCTATGAAACTGGAATTCACTTTCTTCCTAATCTTTGTATTTTTGGTGCCTGCCTCTTTCTTTCGTTAGACCTCCCAGGATCACGGTTTCCCCTTCCTGTGGGTTTGGACAGCTGTACAGGAGGAAACATAATTCCACAGAATGCTTGTTTCCATTAGAGTTAAATTAAAAAAAACAAAAAAACAAAACCCACCCAAACCCAGTGCTATGCTTTATTCCAATGCAATCCGGTTTCCGAGTCCATAATAACCCTCTGGGGCGGTGCAGGCGGCACTGGAATGCGCACAGACATTCCCAGGGAAGGCTCTTTCTCTCTCTCTCTCTCTGTTTGCTCCCCTGAAACCTCTCCAGAGAACATGGCCGGATTCTGTTGCCACCGCAGCTGTGGCAAGGCCCTGGTTATTATAGCTCTTTCGCGGTCTCCGGCGCCTTGCTGGATTCTGGCATCAAGGCCCCAGACAGAGAGAAACTTGATAAAAGCTGTCCTTTTATGGAATCTCGAATCAGGAAACTGGGCCTGTGCTAGCCTGAAAAATAATTTCAGGGAGGGGTGAGAGAGGGCTGGGAAAAAACCAGCCATTTCCCACATATTGCGTTAGCATTTCTTTGTGGCAGTTCCCTGCAGTTTAATCGACTGCAAATGAGATCTTAAAAATCAAGGGCCCCCATATGCTCAACATGGATGTTCAGAAATCCCACCGGATACCAACGTGGAAGCCATATGATCCAGGATGAGCGTTTCTGTGGTGTTGGCTGCAAACCCCGAGTGCTCTGGTTTCCTCTCGTGGGAAGGAGGTAGCGTACTGTGTGGCAAACGCTGCTTATCCCGCGATGAATGTGATGGAGAGCATGTCACCGGAGGACCCATATGCTATTTTGATTAGGGATACGTATTTTTTTGGATCGGCTGGGTATAGGTCACAGGCTCTTTTCTTTCTCCCTGGAAAACCAGCCACGGAGGGAGATCTCACTTCCAAGGCCTCCAGCATGGGAGACCGGGAGGCTTGTGTGAGGCTCCATCCCAAAGAGGAGGGAGACAGAGCCATCAATGCTAACGCGTCTCCACAAAGCTCACTGACTTATTGCAACGGAACAAACGTGAGCTGTCCAAGCCACCTGACTCTGGATGGTGTGCGACGTTAGCACGATCCAGCGCGACCGTCGCTGTCCCTCCACCCAGCCCCTGTCCTCGCAGTAAAGACGGGCCTGAGCGGAAGGTGTGCACCACATTCCACCTGCTCAGGGTTTTCCCTTTCACCTGCTTCCTACCCAAAGCTGGAAATGTCCGCCGGGGACTGTCTCAGGTCTGGTTGGTGGCGGTGGGGCACTAGCCATCCTCCAATGCTTCAAGGAAGAAACGCTTCCTGTTGACTAGTAACCACCACCAGATTCACAATATGCAGCCTTTACTGAGCGCTCACTGTATGCCAGGGCCTTGGTTCTAGACTTCTCATGGCATCCTTCTTTGACAGCTACTATTGCCATCTCCATTCCGCACGTGGGAAGGTCACCCTGGGAAAGGGCAAAGCGCTTGCGTAAGGCCTCGCAGCTGGCAGGTGGCAGAGCAGGGCCGACCTGACTTAGAGCCAGTACTTTTGTCTGAGATTCCATGCTGCCTCTCACATGCTGCTGCTTGGTAGGTGGTCTTGGAGGTGCCGGCAGAGGGGAGACCATGGGAGGCCCCTCACATCCCCTCTCAGTTCCTCTAGGACCGGTTAGTGTGGCACATGCAAAACGAATAACAATTTCAGAAGCAACAATCTGAGTGGGGAAGATGGGAGACTTACGGCGGAAATATTCCTATTATAGTTAAACTAGAGGCCCGATGCATGAAGATTTGTGCAGGAATGGGCCTTCCTTCCCCTGGCTGCTGCCACCGCCTTCGCTCTGGCTGGAGCGGCCTTTCCACCTTCCCACGCTGCCCAGAGACAGTGCAGTGCCCGTCTACCTTCCATCTTTGCTGGGTTAATTTGCATACTCACTCCTGATTGGCTGATTGGCGTCGAGATGGTACGGTCAACTTGCATCTTATTCTTTTATTAGTGTAGATGCCAAAATATTTTCAGCTCTAATGCTATCTCTGAAAATTGTGATGGATAGAAAGAGGCTTTTGAGAAAGAACCTGTTCGTTGCATACAGCGCTGTCCTTTGGAAACTTATAAAGAAGTTTGTAGGGAGCAGCTAGGGTAAGCCTCGGGCTGACCTCTGCCAGGGCCATAAACAAGTCCCAGCCTGAAGGGCAGAGCTCTCTTAGCATAATTAAACCTGACCTTGTAGCCCACCCTAATTCCTTCCTAAGTAGCTAATGGTCTGTGGGAGGTGCAGCAAGTGTTGCCAAAACAAGAACCTTCTGTACACATGTGCCGAAACCGGTTTGGCTCAGTGGATAGAGTATCAGACTGCGGACTGAAGGGTCCCAGGTTCGATTCCAGTCAAGGGCATGTACGTTGGTTGTGGGCACATCCCCAATAGGGGGTGTGCAAGAGGTAGCTGATCGATGATTCTCTCTCATTGATGTTTCTCTTTATCCCTCTCTCTTTCTCTCTGTAAAAAATCAATAAAATATTAAAAAACAAAACAAAACAAGAACCTTCTGTACACATGTTAATCTACCCTTGTTTTAATCAGACTATAAAATAAAGCACAGGCTTGCAGGCTGGGTCTTCTGTGTCCTCATCCAGGCCTGGGAGATCCGCAGAGCCCCAGCTGTATTCTCTCTGTCTGTCTCCTTTAGTCCGCCACCGCCCCTCCTCAGATTCACCCTTGGCCATGCTGGCGTTTTCCTCACCCACAGAAAGAGACCCTGGCTCTCCTACAGTGCAGCTGCCCTCACTCCCGTGGGACAGTTGTGAGCAGAGGGGAAGTGGCTTTTCTTGAGCAAGCAGACCAGGCTCCATGCCCTTGGAGTCCACGCCAACATCCAGACTGGTGCAATTTTTTGGGGAAGGCCCTGGTAGCGTGGGCAGTGCCATACTGGCGAAGGGTAGGAATTTCAAAGGCAGGGGAAGGATGATGATTAAGAAGTCAATCATGCATTCATTGACCCACCTGGGGTAAGGTGATGATCCAAAACTCATCTTATTTTCTGAGGTTTCTGTCCCTTAACTCTTCTTGGCTCCCCCACTCTGAACATCAGCCCCCTCCTCCCTGGCTCCTTTGAGAACCAAACGGGGTGCATGAAAAGGCCCTTCTCTGCTCCCCGAAGGCTGAGTGACTCAGGGTGGTTTTCCCAGAGCACTCTTCCATCGCTCTCACCCGGATATTTCCCCGAGCCTGGACGGGAGTGAGTGGAAAATGAGCTCACTAGGAAGACGCTGGCCAAGTTGGGGAGTACATCTCGTTTTAGGGAGCGCTGTGAATTAGATCCATTTCTGCACCCTGCTGTTGCGATGGAGCAGACTGTGAAAGGGAAGATTCTCAGAGGAGCTGTGTTTTAATGTAGCAATTTGATTCAATTTTCCACTCTATAAAATTACCCATCACTGCTCGTTGCTTTCTAACAGACACCTTCACTCTTAATTTAACAATCCTATCGAATTCTGCCAGGGAAATTGGAAAAATTTATCACCTGTGAAATTTTATTTTCCTTTGGTTGTATCTGTTTTTGTAAAACTTCATTAACGACGATGACTTGCTGAGGAAATTATCATTTTTTTTTTTTTTTTAACTTCAGACACAAGAAATGGCTCGGCCTCCACCAAGATATCATTTGCATAATAAAACACAACACAAGGGCTGGGGAAGTTGGGACCGGCAGAGGCTGGAAGTGCTAGGAGAAGAAGGGAGACTTGGCTTGGTGGCTGGTGGATGGGTGGATGGGTGGGTGGGTGAGGTCCCAGCAAGGAAAAAATCTGTGGCCACAGCCCTGGTCTTTGACTCAGGAAGCAATGACATGGCTTCTCCCCCAGGGGAGAGACAAATGCAGCATCGACAGGGTTAGACTCTCTTCTTAGGAAGCTCTGAAACACAAGCTGCTTACTCGATGCTTTTTAGCAACCAGCCCTGTCTTCAGGGGATCCAGACTCACCTTATTTCCTAAGTTTATCTGGGATTGGAGTTTAAATTGTTATAAATTTAGGCTTAACTTGAAATTCTCAGCAGAGCCTGGCAAATTTCCACAGGAGCCATCTTTCTGAATGGACTTGAAGATTCAGCATTCCTGCAGCCTAACTACCTCACAATTAAAAGGCTCAGGCTCCGGTTTTCTACAGTCTGACCCCCACTGTGCTCCGCACTGTTCAACAGCTGCCGTTATCCCCACAAGAAGGGGCTCTGCAGGCGCAGTGATGACTGTACGTTTTCTGAGATGCCAGTTATCGCGCGTTTGGCAAGGAGGAAATATGTGCAGGGGACCGACCTGCTGTAACGGTGGGCAGGGGGAACACGGTAGGGTTATTTGTGAGACTCACAGTTGGACTCACGCTATATCTGCACTAAGTAATAAGGAGCTGTGCTCCATCAGGGCTTTCCTGGGTTACAGAAGAGGTTTGTCAGCATTTATCTATAGGCCTTCAGACTTCTACTCTATCCTTCACTTGGAGGCAACTTTCCATTATTCTCACAGTTCTCACAGCAAAGAAGTTGAAATGAAAGAGTTTTGATGATCCACCCCCAAACTCACAGGGAACCAAGGAAACCCAACATAAATACTCTTAACTCTTTCGCTTTGTTGACATAGGTGATGCATTCCTTCCTGTGGTTCAGATGAAAGACCCTCCCTGGTCAATTCATCTTGCTCCCAGAGCAAGGGAGAGCTTCTAACCGCGGAAGCTTCCCTACATGCTCTCCTTTAGAGATTTGGCTTCGTCTGGAGTTTCCAGAGTTCTATTCTTCTACCAGGTCGAGAGTTTCTGAAGCTCGAGGAAGATAATTAGAAGATGATGTTTCTCACCTGGTAAGACTTCGTAAATATCTTCTTCTTCTTTCTCCTCTGAGGGCTGTTTTAGTCCTAGACTCCCAGGCAAGATAATGGGTCTGCGCTGGGCACCAGATTTTTGGGAGTCAAGGCCATCGATGTCATCATACATCTCCCCCTCTTCCTCTTCTTCCTCTTCCTCCTCTTCACAGGGAATGGTTAAGGAACTCAGATCTGCCAAAGTAGAGATGAGAATGAATCAAGATAGGGAGAAAAGGAAAAGAATAAGGCAGGGGAGGAAAGAGGGAGGAGGAGAAGGAGGGTTGAGAATAAAACATGTCAAAAGAAAATGAAACGCCAGGTTAAGTGCTATTATTTCTAATGTGGGCCTTGGTGGCAGGAAATCTACAGAAAAGGCCAGACTAGCACTGCGTCAGGTTTAAACCATCAACATAAATCCTCCCTTGCAATAAAACTTGATCAGGACGAAGTGTCCCTGGGAAGTATGGGTGTGCGAAGGAGCGCGCGAGGTAAAGGGAAGAAAATAGGCCAGGAGGGGAGATGCCCGCACATCACGCCCTGCTCCTCAAGGAGAAAACCGGAAGGGTGAGTGATGGCCTGTGGACCACCAGGGCCCACAGCGCCGTGGGAACCATGGCGGCTTCCGTAGGGCATCTGAGCTGTCAGAAGCTCATCTCCCCCAGGATCTCCCTGCAGAACGTCAGACAAGTTTGCTAACAGTGAGGGGCACAAGAGGAAGAGGAAGGGAAAGCGGGATATGGAAAAAATATAACAGCAATACAAGACCAAGTGGAATGGCTTAGTGAGTGGTTACCATTCCGTTTGCAACAGTACAGCCTGCCTGACCTTAAAGTGGGTCACCGCATAGAAGATGGTGAGCCATTATAGCACTGGGGAGCCCAGGACTGGGGAGGGAGATTGGTTTTTTATTTTAATAGGGAACTGGGAAGGTTCGTTCTCGGATGTGCAGTACAGAGTGCTCTGTGAAACCCTGCTGAGGGACCTCTGCAGGATGGGCGAGTGCCGGCGGGGTACTCTAGGGAAGGGAAGGATGGAGAGACATCCGATGTTCATTTCAAAACACAATAACACTGTTTGGCTTGGTTAGGCTTTTAATAAAGATTCTGAAACGATTTCCCTCTGAATTCTGGTGCCACCTCACATGAGGAAAGGGATCCAAGACGCATTCGTGGCTTAAACCGTATGTTATTATTTTGTTTGTTTTTAAAATAAAGTGGAATGAATAATTTCTTCAATGTGGAATTCTGAAAGTACCACAGGGTACATACAGCTCAATAAAGCCGCTTTGAGTTTTATTGAGGTTTACACACTTAGGGGTATATTACATGCATAAATCTAAGGCACCTAGATGAGTGTACCCTGTAGTCTCGCCATCAATGCTCATGTTTGCCTGGTTCCAGTCTATTATACGTGATGCTCTTGGTAGAGGCAATGGTTTGTTTTTGTGATAGAAAAAGCATAAACTGAGTAAAATTGGCAATTCTTGTAATTAAAGCTCTGGTGCTTCCTTCTTTTTATAAAATCTTAGAGCAGATTAAGAAAGAAACAGAGATGAAAGGCCTGATGCTTTTAGGTTGACGTGCTTCTCCCTGGGTGGTGGGCCACACGCAAAGTTGATGTTTTTGTCTTTCTGTGGAGTTGGGGTCCTGCCATGAGGTACGCCGTTATGAGGGTCATCTGAAGGTTGGCTACTTCTACCTAGACAAGGCTATCCCGGGCCACGGTCATTGCTGTGCCTACAGGCTGACCAGCACAGGGTACTCTAAGAGCAGCCATTTAACATCTCCAGGCAGGACTCTTCCAGTCATAAAGCAAGGAGCATTTCACTGTGGGTTGGGAGTAACAATTTGTTTTGAATGTCCAATGTTGTTGAAGGCCACCTAGTTGAGTTTAGGTTTTTTTACTTCCTCCTAAGACCAAAACAAGAGGGTTTGGGATCAAATTGCATCTAGATGACTTAAGTTTGATATCATGATCTATGAAATTGAGCTGGTGATCAAAATCTCCTTTCCTAGTGATTATGAATATGACAGACTTGTCTATAGGTAGGTGGAATGAGCTAGAAAGATATCAGCGGTCCTCTCCAGGTTTCTTTATCTTCTCATTTATGTAGGGCTCAATTTGTTATTATAATGTGAAGGATGTGGTAAGGAGGGTAAAAAGGGGGAACAGGTAGAAACACACATTGAAGCTTGTGGATTATATTTGTGCCATAGAACTCCAACTGCAAAACTCACTCAAGTATTGTTTCTATAATAATGATACTTACCCTTTAGCAAGAAACTTATTTGATCCACCCAGTCTCTGGCTTCAGCAGGATTAGTAGCTGTAAACTAGAGAAAAATTAGTGAGTTAATTTATCACCTTCACTAAAATTTCCACGAATCCTATTGGGAGGTTCATGGGGTGGGGAGGAGTGGGGGAATTTGCGAGTCACGTTTCAAAGTCATGCTGAAAGCTTAGGATTTTCTGCCTTCTTAATATTTTGAAGAAAGACCAAAATACTCAAAGTGATTTTTTTTTCCCCTTTAGCAATTTTGTATAGCCAATGTTGACAGCTATTTGAGTCCAGAATTCATGTCCGTGTGCATTCATTTGATTACTTATTCATTCATCAGACATTTATTTGATAAAAGTTTATAGAGAAAAAAATAAAGCAACCCAAAATTCCTGACTTCAAAGACAATGCATCAGTTATGGAGACAACATATGCCCTTAAAATGGAAACATTACGAAGTCGGAGCATTTGGGAACAGCTGGATGTTGAGAGAAGTCAGGGTAAGCAGAGAAGCTTGTGGAAGCAATACTGTTCTACTTGGATTTTAAAAGGAGTTGTTGAAAACTGGTGGAAGGAGTTGGACAGTTTAGGAAAGGAAAACCATGTGCAAAAGATTAAGAATGAGACCATCTGGTATGGGGAAGCAAGGCAGATAAACTTGACTGGAGAACAATCAAGGATGAAGCTAAAGGGTTGAGGGTCAGAGAAGAGGGGATGAAACAAGGAGTGCAGACTTATAACGTAGGCAAGAGGAAGCCACTGTAAATTCTAACAAAAGAAATGGGAGATTCACTAGTTGTGTATAGAAGGGGTTGAAATAGGGAGAAACTGGAGTTGGAAGACTAACTAAAAAGCTGTTTAATCCTCTGGGTGAAGGGATAAGGACTTAACTCTTGTGATGGCTGTGGGAATAAATAAGAAGGGAAAGATCCAAAGGGTATTGTAGACGAAGAATCCACAGACCATGATAATGACTTGGATTCAATGGGCCAAAGAAAAGAAGAAGTAAACAAACCCTGCATTCTGATTCACAAAACAGGCCAGTCAGGCATCAGCCCTCAGTCATTTTTTTATTTTTTAAATGAATCAATTCAAAATGAATGTTCCTGAAAACATTTTTATTATCTGGCCATTAGGGGAGGACAAAGATATGTGCTGTATACGAAACCTACATTCCTGCTTAATACTTATTAATAGACATTGTCATTCTGGGTTTCTTAAAAACACATTTGTATAAAAAATGTCCAGGGAAATGGATTTAGATTTGTCAAAGAAGTTTTTATCTGGGTAAGGCGTCATCAGACGCCGAATAACAAACATAACTTTTATAAACATACCCAGTGCATCCATCTGTGTTATATATATCTACAAATGATTCTATAGAAAAGTTTAAATTAAAAATATTTGAAATCATATAATGAAGACCTAAGTCATTTGACAAAATGAGGGTTAAGATACTATTGAAACATGAAAGGATGAATGTTGACAAAAACTTGGAGTCAAAGGGTTACATAAGTGGTTAATATTAACCTTAGCATGGTTTTTCTCTTCCTCACAAGTTAGCTAAAGGTTTTCTAAATTGTTGTCATAAAATTGTGGTAAGATAAAAATGACCAATAAGCAGGAAACATCATGTATATACATAGGCACAAATATATTTTTGTTGAAAATCACTATGTTCTCATAGACATTTTTTATTGCTTTAAAAATTTTGTAATAGGTTATAAATACATTACATATTATATCATGTAAGATACCAAAATACATTAAAAATGAATATAGTGAGGAATAAATCTTTCTTACCCCCCCACCCCCGGGTCTACTCCCTCAGTTATCACTATTACTATTCATCAATCACTGTCATCAATATCTTAGGAATCATCCAAAGATAGGCAGTGCTCTTCACATAGGGAGATTATTTCGGATAGCAAGATAAATATGGGAAAATAAAATAGTTTTCACCTGACAGATTTCTCTTTTTCTGGATTTCATGGGAAAGAAGTGAAGATAATCAGTTGAAAAATAGAATGGGAATTAAAGCCGTGAAATTAGAGGCTCTGAATGAGGAATTAGACTGTTTGCTGCGATAGATGACAAGACTCTCACCTATGGCGTAAGACCAAGAAGAGGAGGGATGAAGCGACAGAAGCCAGGCAGAGGCAGTGGCAGTACCTAGGATGAGAGTGGCAGCCGACAGGAGAAGGGAGGGCATTACATAGCAAAGGTGTGGACCTGTCCAGAAAGAAGGTCTCAGTAGAAGATGAGCCGGTAACAGAGAAAGGATGAAGCCCAGCCTGGCAGACACGGCTCACATGCAACGTGGAAGGAAACTGCAACCCTAAGGAGGGCCGCCATCTCCTTGGTTCATCCTACCTCATAGCTGCGCCTATCCGGGGAGGTCAGTTCAAAGCAGGATTCTCTCTTGGAATCTTTTCGCAGGTAGGGGGCCATCCGTACGCTGTAGCCCTCAATGAGAAAGGTCCCTTTGGGCTGCTTGCCTGCAAGACACGAAAGCTCCTTGTACCCTAGAGAGACGCGACTGCCAAGAGAAGGCATCTTCTCGGGTGTGTAAAATAAGAGCACAGAAACAGCTGTCACATCCCCGAGGAACCACAAGAGTCAAGGAAAGGTTTTTAGGGAAGCTGAAGAAGAGGCTACCGCGACAGCAAGGCAGACATCGCCGCCAAGCTAGGGAAATGCTACGGGAAAGCTTATTTTGCCAAAGGGGTGCAACGGAGACAGAGAATTTATTAGAATGTTAAGAGATCTATAATAACAGAAAGAAGGAATTATTGCAGCAGGGAGAGCGTGGCTGTACACGTGAGGCTCCTGAAGGCTGTAATAGAAATGAAACATGATCATCGAGTCCAACAGAGCTCACATTTGAGGGGAGGGATGGCAACGCAGGGGGAATTGTAAGTTCCCAGGGTCTCCTCCTATGCCCTACGCAGCCTGTGGGCTAAACTGTCCTCTCCCTCCTCCTGGGCGGATGGGGATTTATGCTAGATGCTAAGTAATTAAAACTCAGTATTTTATCCTCCTTCCAAGAGGTCAAGTTGAGAAATAGCAGAGTAATGTTGAGTATTATCAGATGTTGAGGAAGGAGATAAAAGGCAAAGGACTTGACCTGAAAGAAAGGAGACAGTACCCTGCCTGCCACTCCCTTAAAAAAAAAAAAAATTAGAGCCGAAACCGGTTTGGCTCAGTGGATAGAGCATCGGCCTGCAGACAGAAAGGTCCCAGGTTCGATTCTGGTCAAGGGCATGTACCTTGGTTGCGGGCACATCTGGGGGGGGGGTGTGTGTGCAGGAGGCAGCTGATTGATGTATCTCTCTCATCGATGTTTCTAGTTCTCTATTCCTCTCCCTTCCTCTCTGTGAAAAATCAATAAAATATATTTTTAAAAAATTAGATACAGGAAAGGAAGAAATGGTTCCTAAGAATTCTGTGTCCTCATGGTGTGTTCAGGCAGAATGCATAGAGGACAGGCACTTCCATATATGGGTGATGCTTTGTGTTCTGTATCATGTGGAATGAATTGCCTAATAAGGGCATTTTGATGATGATGACAATGATGATGAGGATGGCAGTGGACTGATAAGAATTAAAAGAAAAGAAAAAGATTCTGTCCTTCTCCAGTTGAGCTTAAAATAAAAAAAATACGCAAACACTCTGTATTTACTAAGAAAATGTCTTGGGCACAATAAGAAGTAACTGTCGAGAAGGGAGCCATGCAACAGTGCTTTCTGACACCAGAATCTTTTTTGTTAAAGTATCTCTCCTTGTTCTAACTGGCCACTAAAATGTTTTGTTGTTTCTTCGGTCACCGGGTTTTATTTCACCCTGACAGCAAAATGGTCAATAAAAGTCTCCTAGTCTCTCGCTCTTGTTCTCCTTCTCACCTTGAGTGTAAAGGATTCTGACTAGACGAACACGATCCTTGGTTTTCTATTCAGATGTGCCAACCGCTTATTTAAATGCAAAGGGAAACGATGAACATTTTTTTTTTTTTACGAAGACCTAAATGTTGTATTAGTTTGAAGGTTTAAAATAAGCAAAACACACCTGGCTGGCTTGTAAGCCAAGAATTCAGGGGAGAAAGTGTAGTGGCTGGGTTTGAGAGTGGGCTGGAGTGTGGGCAGGGGGCTTGTTACTCAGTTTTTGAGGGATGTGCTCTCATTCACTCTTTACTCCTAGGTGAAAGGGCTCTGAAAAACCTGAGGTGGTGAACCCAAGGCGAAGGTCAGTGATACTTGTTGTAGGCAGAGAGGTGGGGTGAGAGCATTGTCTCAAAGCCCAAGGGTAAATCTTGAGGATTCCAAGTCCTTTAGCTGCAATCCTTTCTGCTACCTTAGTGCCAAAGGTGCAGGAAGTTCAAAGGCAATGGGGGTAAAATCTGAATATTTCTGACTGTATATCCGGGCTTTGGGAGAGGAATAAGCCTGGGAAAGAAGGAGGAGTGGAGAAACAGAAAATGATCCAGAGGAAAAGAAAGAATTTACTCTGGACCAAGGCTGCAGAGCAGAAGGAAATCCGCCTCCTCCTCCCAAAAGAATGGATGTTTTGCTTTACGTAATCTCCCTCTTGCTCTGTAGAATTACTCCTGGGACAGCCTGACTCTGTGGAGGAGAGCCTATTTGAAAGTTTGCATTCACCTAAAGGGATACTTTTTTAGCTTGTGGAGATTTGTAGCTGCCTCCAAGTTGTGCTTATATTTCCTATTCCTTCTCGTGAAAGAAGCAACTGCGTTAAGCATGGGCGGGAGTTCTAGGGGGAGCTTCGAGTGCTGTGCTTGATTGAGTCAGTGGTGGCTGACTAAGACGTGCTCTGGCCTGAGTCAACACTTTGTGGTGGCTGCCATCTGCTTGAAGGGTGTCTCTTGGGCACAGTGACCATTTGGGGCTCAACACTCCATGGATTACTTCCCAGGAGTCAGTAGAATAAAGTTTGAAACATGTTCTTAGAGCGTTTGGACTTGAAGGTTCTATTTCTGGGCCATTGGCCAGCTGTTTAAATCTCTCTCAGAGTTAAATTTATTTTCAAAATTTAATTACATTATTAAGAGTTTGAGGTTCTTCTTCTTCTTTTTTTTTTTTTTTAATGACAAAGTGTTCAACCTTGATGATGTTATTAGTCATAATAAAAGATAAGCCTGCGACATGCTGACCACAATATCCTGGTGTTTATGGGGACATAAATTCTAAATTGGCATCTGAGTGTTTGGTGATAGGCAAGGTATTATTTACTCAGGCCTGTTTCTCTCCCAAGCAGGTCCCCCTTTATGGGTGTTAGTTAAGGATTGCTGTCTGGAGATCCGGTGTTTGGGAATTTACAGAGTGTCTGCATCCAGGAGTGAGATGCTGCTATGCAAACGAGGAGCACTTACTTTTCTCATTAGCATAGTAGCAGAAGAGGCCTCTGCTGACAACACACCATCTCTTCTGCCATTCTGATCCGAAGAAACTGGGATCTAAATGCAACAGCAGTGAGGGACATAAATTCAGGTAACTACCATCGCCGAAGAGTCCTTCAAACCTAACCACACACAGCCCAGGGTACGATTGTTTTATTTCCCAGGTTAATGGACTGTAAAACCCTCCCTTTCACTCGCACAGGTTATCCCATATTGACTCAGGGTCCAGAGGACTTGCTCAGTCAGAGGTCCAAGTCCTAAACAGGGTTTGCCTGCTCTGACCCCTTCCAGCTGCCTGTCTTCCTTTATTTCAGCTTCAGATCTTACCCTGTACTTCTCAAACTCTCCAGGATGTCTTCCTGTGCTGCCTTTGAGCAAACCAAAAGGTTGCTCTAGGCCCTGGGCACAAGAAAGGCTTTCTCTGTATGAGGCCAATTTAAACGGGGACGCTGGCCCTAGCAGTACCTGTTCTAATCAAACAAGGGATAGGCTGAGAGTTGGGTCCCTCTGACACTTAAAAGTGGCTGTTTCACATATGATATAAAAAATATGCTGGTGAGGCTCAGTGGTTGAGCATTGACCTATGAACCAGAAGGTCATGGGTTGATTTCCTGTCAGGGCACATATCTGTGTTTCGGGCTCGATCCTCAATGTGTGATGTGTAGGAGGCAGCCCACCAATGATTCTCTCTCATCACTGATATTTCTATCTCTCTCTTTCCCTTTCCCTCTCCTTTCCTCTCTGAAATCAATAAAAATATATATTAAAAAATAATAAGGGGTAGGAAAGGCTGGGGGAAGATCAATGGGGAAAAAAAGGAGATATATGTACTACTATATGTAATACTTTAAACAATAAAAAAAATTTATACTCTAAGCAACATAGTTTCATTCTTCATGGGAATACATGGAGAGATGAGAACAAGAATAGCATTCAGTCGAAACCGATTTGGCTCAGTGGATAGAGCGTCGGCCTGCAGGCTGAAAGGTCTCAAGTTCGATTCCAGTCAAGGGCAAGTACTTTGGTTGCAGGCACATCCCCAATAGAGGCTGTGCAAGAGGCAGCTGATCGATGACTCTCTCTCATCGATGTTTCTAACTCTCTATCCCTCTCTCTTCCTCTCTGTAAAAGAAAATCAATAAAATATATTTAAAAAAAAAGAATAGCATTCATTGGTTCATTCAACAAGTATTTATTAAACATCTATTGCATACCAGGTGAGCAAGGTAGATCCAGTCCCCATCCTGATGAAGCTCACAGCCTGCTGAGGATTTGGGGCCATCTCTGTTTAGCCTACACATCAGACCTCTTTTCTCCCCTTCCTTTTGCCTCCCACCTACTTACCACAGTCCTGGCCTAGAGAGGACATCTGCTGTTAGCCCTCTTTTCCCTCAGTTCCCTTCCTTTCCCGGAATGGTCTGAGACCCAGGGGTCTGATCATTACCTTTACTTTTCTTCTCCAAGTATCCTTGCTTGATGACACTATCCAGCTCTTGAGCTCCTCTTGGGAAGTCCTCCATTCCTGAAAGGAACAACAGCACAATGCGTCATGGAAACATGACAGAATTTTCAGTGATTTAGGCTGCTTCCCATAGTGCACACTGATGAAGAGGTACAGAAGGACAACTGCTTACACACAGCACAAAAGAAAATGATGTCTAGATGATTAGGGAAAAAAAGTCAACTTTCTTTCTTCCTAAGTATATCTAAGGCTAAGATCACTTAAAATGATCTAAACATATATTAGTCTGTTCAAGGGAAAGGTAGCCTAAATATGTATTGATTGGCCAGCAAAGGACTCCAGAGAATGAAGAACGTGCTGTGAATATAGTCCACATTGAGATAACCAACAGTCAAATGAATAGCCTCCAGGACAGACAGCATTAATGAGTGAGAGTTCACCATGAACACAGTTACCTCAGGAACAATAAACACACATTATTATTATTTTTTTTTAAAGCGAAGAGCCACCTTAGAGAACATACATTTTATTAAGTTCACACAAAGAAGGGTTATGCAAGCTGAACTTGGCAATGACTGCCAAATCCTGGATTTGTAACAGTATGGGAAGGAGTCTAAGAATGCTGGGAGCTCTTTTGAAGGGAAGATCCTGGGACTGACACCAGCCTTTAATTGCATGCTGCTAACATTCTTGGCTTTCAATTAGCTTGGTTAGGTACAAATTTATTGAAAAGTCAAGATCCTAATCCATCTACCACCATCGGAATTTATACTTATTTTATAGAAGGGAGGGGCAAAGAACAGAGACAAAGAGGAAGAAATGTACCCCTCAAAAGATAAAATGAGCCCCCGATAAATGGCTCAGTTGGTTGCAGGCAGTTACCTAGGTTATCAGTTTGATCCCTGGTTGGGTGTGTACAAGAGGCAACTGATGGATGTTTCTCTCTTTCTCTCTCCCTTCCTTCCTCTCTAAAATCAATAAACATATTCTTGGGTGAGGATAAAAAAAAAAAAAAAGAAAGAAAGAAAGAAAGAAAAAGAACAACCCCCCCCCCCCAAAATTATGAGAAAAGGAGTGGGTTAGTGTAGTCCTAATATTTATTCTTTTAGTCCCTAAACCCAAATCTCCTTTCGTGTGCCTTCAAATATCTAGAAAGCAAACAAAACACAAACCAAAATAAGGCAGAGCCTATGCAATATCTTAAGACTGTTGGGTGGAATACTTTTTTTCAGTTACGTGATTTTTAAAAACATCTCCCACGATAACTAACTTGTATCCAGTGATGGCTACTTTGCTCAGTGCATTGCATACTTTTTGTCTAAAAATAACATTTTACGACAATGTAAAATGTAACTAAAATCACCACTTGCTTCTAAGCTGTTCCAAGCTTAGCTTTAAACACATGGATCAGGAGAGTTTCTCTCTTTTCATTTTCAGTATGTCTAAATGCCCGTTTGTCCATATTGCCCACTTCCTTGTTCATGGACTGCTCGGATTTGTGTGTTTTACAGTTAACAAACTCTGTGGCTGCTACGAAGCCTCCGAGAGGAGTCTCAGGGCGCATACATGAGATGAACAGCACCCAAGGACAGCTTGTCTGTCTAGGACCCTTTCCTTTCTCCCACCTCTCTGAAAATTCCATTATCTCTTTGAAAATGCTTTCCAAGAAAGCAGACAGGTCCTACTGAGATGGGTGAGGAGCAGTACGGCTGAGAAGGCCCTTGGAAGCAGAGCCCATCCTGTCTGCAGTGCAGTCAAAAAATTGCTCCCAGCCAAGACTGCTTTGGCTCAGTGGATAGAGTGTCAGCCTGTGACTGAAAGCTCCCAGGTTCGATTCCGGTCAAGGGCATGTACCTTGGTACATGCAGCTGATCTTGGAGGCAGCCGATCGATATTTCTCGCTCATGTTTCTAACTCTCTATCCCTCTCTCTTCCTCTCTGTAAAAAATCAATAAAATATATTTAAAAAAAAAAACCGCTCCCAGAGGCCTAAAAATTAAATGAAAAAACACAGGAGACAAGGAACACAGGGTCCCCTAAGCCTGAAGTATACATCTCTTTTTCCCAGGGTTTCCCTCCACCTTTTTCTTTCTTTCTCCTAAGGTCTGGTTAAAACTTAAGAGACACAGCTACCTGTTAAAAGATGATGAGAGTCTGGATCATAAAAGACACGTTAAACGTCCTATTAGACTCCAAACCTCCTTTAAAAAATGCAAATCTAAATGCCATTTTATGGAACATCTATAATTATGAAAATGGGAAGACATTGCCTTGTGTGCAGGGAGAGTGAGTATGAATATTGCATTAATGTGCCCACACCAGCTCACTGATCCTGCCGGCAGGAGCATAAAAAATGCTTGAGTGAAACTTTTATTTAGATGTTAAGACTCCAGACCCCAGCGGGGTAACGGAGACGGTCCCCGTGAGTTGCCATCAGAGAGAGAGCTTGAATTGAATTACCCAGGGGGGAAGGAAGGAGTGATGAGCACTGCTTCGCTTATTTAATTTCATTTACTTTCAGTACATTATCAGCATGAGGCTCTTCTCTCCCCACCAACCGAAACCCGAGAATGCCGCCTCCAAGAAAACAAAGACATAAGGCAGCAGAGATGCTTGGACTTCAAGCCACCGATTCTGGGAGAGGAGAGATAGCACCGTCACCACCTTCTCCCCCCAGCGTCATACCTGGCGTTCTAAAATCGGGCACCCAATGAGTTGCTGAATGTGCTTTCTCGGGCATTTACCAACAAGATTCTGGAGAGTAACAGAGCTGGAGACTGCGGGATTTTGTCAGATGTGTCAGGCTGCTTTCTCATTAGAGGGAATCTGTACTGATGAACTCTCTTGCCTGGTTTCTCTTGTGGGAAGTGGGATGACAGGTGACGTTTGGAATGGTTATGGAAAAAAGTGAGGGAATCATAAGACCAATCTCTATTCTTTTGATCGTTTTCCATGGGCAGGGCCCTGTACAATGACAGAGTTGTTCTCCACGTAAAGTGGACTGTGAGCTCTATTTCATCAGCTCCGTGACTTCTCAGATAAATCCAGACAACCACTGAGGCAATCAAACTGTCTCCTCTTTCGGTGTCAGTTGGGGTCCTACTGATCGAGAACGGATTATCCTGAGGGTGCACACGTGAGCCACAGTCCTGGGGTGATGAGACAGGAGGCGTCTTGTAGGTTCGAATTGACACCTACTGGCAAGTAACCGATCTACAGAGTTACTTAATGCAGAATACAAGTACACAAATGACTTGCAGGAAGATAATAAAAATAGGAAGAAGCCATAAACAATTGCTATTTTAAGGCAGAAACATTTATATTTAAATATGCAATTTTTAAAGAACTGAGTTGTTTTTGTGTGTGTCCATTATCTAAAAAAAAAGATTAGGAATGATTTAGATTTATTGGGAATGAATGGCCCTCTTGGATAAACTTTAGGGTGTATCATATTATATCAGCACACAACAGAATTACATTAGTGTCATAATCTCTCTCTACCACTACACTTAACTAAAGCTGTCAGAATAGCCTACAGGAAGAAAAGATTCACTTAGCTGAATGCTGTGGGGCCATAAAGATAAGATCAACAGAGAAGCGTGTTACCCAGAAGTGATGGCCACCCAACTTTCGTGGCAGAGAAAGAGAAAAGCAATTCTCAGACATCCTTCTCTCCTCACCCAGATTCCTCGAAGCCCTGTATCCCACCCATCCCCAACTCCGCAATAAGGAAGCGACAGAGTAGGATTCCATCTCTCAGTGCTAAACGTGGCTCCTCAGTCAGCTACTCACGGCCACAACAATGGGGACCCTGTGGAGTGTGATACATTTCCATAAAACAGTCAATAAAAAAGACACGGGAGCTTATGTGAGTCACGGCCTATTTAACCAGCTGCGTTCTGGCCCACTGAGAGAAGAGAATTAGAGAAATCAGTTGGCGACACCACAGCACCAGGCTGATAGTACAGGAGGCCACTCCATTTCCACTGGGAGAAGGCTGCAGCACCTGCAGAACAAACCAGGTGCTTGCGAACCTCATTAGAGTTGGTTTGGGCTCTTGCTAACTCAACTGAAATAAAAATCAGTAATTAAAAAAAGAAAAGAAAAATATTTTATTCAAGTCCCCACCCTAAATGATGGACGTCTCCCATCCTCCTCTTTCCTTTTAATTCAAGTTCTTCTCAATTGTTTGAAAAAGGGACCCAATTAATTCCATCCAACCTGTAGACTAAGAGCTCCCAGGGGGTGGCTATCACCAAGGGGCCTTCATTCAGGGATCCAGGATAGAGGACCCAGGGAGCCGGGTGGATGAGGTTGGAGAAAATCTAATATTTGAAGGCTGGGAACGGTCAAGTTCCATTTGCAATTCCACTTCACTTGCAGATCGCTGGTGTGTGTGCCCTGCAGACAAGTGGCGGACACACACTTCACAGTGTTTCAAAGGCACAAAAAGGGGAACAGGCAGGTGGGGCGGGTGGATAGAATTCTCCTGTTTGTGGACCCTAACTCTGACCATGAAACGCTCTTCCGTGTGTTTCGTTTCGGTGGCCTACTTTAATAAGTTCATTACTGTTTTTCCTTAGCTTTTTGCATTTCTGGGTTACTTTTTGTTTTTTTCCTCATTTTTTTTTAGGAATCAGTCAATACATGGCAGCTTGAGGTGTCTGTCAAGCAGTGTTCACCTGAGCTGGATGCTAACGGGAAGTTGGTTTCATGGACTCTTCTGCTCTTAGTCCCGTGGGACAGGCTGGTAACAGTTCTTTCACATCCATGTTCCATTTGATATCCACACGCATTTATACTTTTTACACTTTTCTGTCATTTTGCTTCACTTATTAAAGGGATTTAGACAAACACAAGTAAGGTGAAAAATTCTAAATCACTTGGGATCTAAAAATTTGAAGATATAGAAACCACATAGCTTTAACTTCTTGGAGAAATATATTGAATAGCAGATGAAAGGAAAGGAGTGAACAGAATGTGCTTCATCAAGTTCTTTGACAAGCTGTGACATAAGGAGGTAGGAAACAAAACAAGTGCAATTGGAGCCAGACCGATGG